GAAAAGAATTGATTTCCTGTTTCTGTTAGATGCTGATGCTATAAAATATCTGTTAGGTCCATTTTTTAAAATTGTGGTTTAAATTGATGTCTCTTTATTGATTTTTCTGTTTAGATGATCCATTGTTGAAAGTGGGGATAATGAAGTCTACTACTATTATTATATTGCAGTCTCTCTCTCCCTTCAAATTTATTAATATTTGCATCACGTATTTATGTGCTCCAATGTTTAGTGCAAATACATTTACAATTTTATAACTTCTTGATGAACGGAACCCTTTATTGCTATAAAATGATCTTCTTTTTCTCTTTTTATAGCTGTTCACTAAAAGTATGTCTTGTTTGTCTGATGGAAGTATAGCTATCTCCAATCTTTCAGTTTCTATTTGAATGTTGTATCTTTTTCCATCCATTCACTTTTAGTCTGTCCTCAGAGATGAAGTGAGTCTCTTGTACATAGCATATACTTGAGTCTTCCAGACACATGATTCTAAACAACTAACCGTATAATAACATAGTCCATGACTGTTAGAACCATGATAGCTAGGCATCTGGCCAGGGGTAGATCCATGTTTCATAGGGCCTGAAGCTGATATAATTTGAGGAATATATTTTAAGAAAAAGAACTTAAATTTTCAGGTACAAAATTAGATTCCAGAAAGGACTTCTACAGTTAAGAGGTAATGAACCTTCATTAGCTTCATGGAAACTTCATCTGTGTATCTGGTACATAGTAAACATCCCACAGTTATTTACTGAATGATTTTTGATTAGCTAATATCTGTTGATTAAATCTAATGTTACAATGACTATGACTACCCTGGTGGTAGCCACTTGCTTGTAATTTCTTCAGTATATTTAGACTTAACAGTACCTTAGCATTAGTTAGTCTAAACGAGCTTTGCTGCATGTTCATTATTCCTGTATGTGGTAGCCTAATCAGGTAAAAGACATAAAAATGAAATACACAACCAAGTGGGTTTTATTTTTTTTATTCATTTAGACTGTGACCATTTCCCAGATATTTGTTGTCTTAATCCACTTTCTGCTGCTATAGCAGCGTACCACAGACTGGGCAATTTATAAAGAAAACAGATTTATTCACCTAACAGTTTTAGAGGCTGGAAAGCCCAAGAGCATGGTGCTGGCATCTGGTAAGGGTGATTCCATGGTGAAGGGTGGAAGGCAGATGTAAGCATGTGAAACAGAGAAAGGAAATTGGGCCAAATTCACTTTTACAACAAACCCTTTCTTTTGATAGCTAACCCACTCCTGTGATAACAACATTAATTTATTCATCATAGGAGAGCTCTGATGACCTAATCCTTTCTTTAGGGCCCCAGCTTCCAATACCATTACATTGGCAATTAATTTTCAACATGTTTTGGTGGGACATTCATATCATAGCACTTAATTGTGTAAATTCAACATTTAAACTAAATTCCCAGTCTAAATCTATTAAAAATTATTTTTAAAATGAAGCCAGAAGATAGCCACTTGAGAGGTGATATAGACACTAGATATGTCTTTCACCAGATCCTAAACCTTAATTAACTCTGTCAGACTGAGGGGCATAGAATTATGGAAATATACTCTTGAATCCATTTTGCTGAAGTCCGCATTCAAATATATGAATCATGAGGAGGCCCACAAGTGAATCAGCAAATAAATGGACTGCATAGTATGTTTCCAAACAGATTATGAAATTAAGACTTTCATGGTAGAGACATAATATGAATTTAAGAACTATTAAGGTTTGCCCTTTTAGTTAGCACCTGTAGTCCCACCTACTCAAGAGGCTGAAACAGAAGGTTCACTTGAGCCCAGGAGTTTGAATCTAGCCTGAGCAACAAAGACACAATCTCTTTTATCTTTATGTTTTAATTTGCCCTCTTCAAATAGATGACCACAATTCCCTAGAACTATTTTTAAAAATACAGGCGAGAAATTAGAGAATTAAGGAATAATATGAAAACGAGAGGGAGAAAATGTTCCAGAAATAATTTGTTGACCACAGATCTTATGGCCCACACTTATAACACTTCTAAACATAAAGTACTTATAATGGTAACTCACAAACAGAATGATCTATATATGGGTATGCTTCTTTTCTTTGGTTTATATGGCTGTATATCAATGTTCTATAGTTTTAAAATTAACTAGAATAAGTTTTAGATATTCTTGACCATCTATTTTGACATATTAATTTTAAGATCAACTTAGCAAGTTGAGGGGATTTTGATTAGAACTCCACTGAATTTTACAGAATATTCTGGGTCAAAACGAAATCTTTAAACATGTGTAGTCTTCCTACATATAAGCATGTGTATGTCTGTATTTTAAGCAGATGGTCATTTATGTTCTTTAGTAATGGTCTTCTCAAGTGCATTGCATATCCTTTGCTTTCAATAATGTATTGCATGTCCTTTGCCTCTTAAATGTATTGCATGTCCTTTGCTTTCAATAATGAATCAAATACAAATTTTGTCAAGGAACAGAAAATAGGGAAAGCTACCTAACTCATGTTGTAAGGCCAGTGTAATCTTGATACCAGTCAAGGGCAGTCCAAGTAAACAAAGTCACAGACTATTCTTAAAAGAATAGATGCAAAAATCTTAAATAAGTTGAAAAAAGTATATATTTTCAACGTACCAAATTCTTCTCTGACTGTAAGGTTCTCTTATGAAAGTAACATGCTATTCTTGGACTAAAAAGTAAAAACCACATGATTATTTTGATTGTACGTTTAAGTTGTTTCCAATTTTTCACTGTTATAAACAATGCTTTAATTACCAATCTTGGACACTGTCCATCATTTCCTTAGAAAGATTTACCAAAAGTACATTTTAAATTATGATAATATTGTTAAAATACAGGGCCAGCAAACTTTTTCTACAAAGTGCCAGATAGCAAATATTAGAGCTTTGTGGGCCAAGAGGCAAAAGTAAAGTTATTATGTAGGTACTTATATAACAAGATAGAAAATGAATTTCCATAAATTTTTATTGATGAAATTAGAAGAGTATAATTTTTGTGATACAGCTGTACATATGTGAAGGATGGAATCCTTTTCAGAGGAGGTAACATTTCACTTAGTTGGGTTTGAAAGCTGGTGTTCCTATCATCAAAATCTTCAGCTAACATTCATCTGTTAATGCTGATCTACAATGAGATTTTACATATTTCACCTTTGAAAATGTCTTTCCACGTAGATAAGTATTGCCAAATATTGATATCAGTCCATGAGTATATGCTTTTAATTGATTATATTCACAGACTGGCAGGCATTTTTAGAATTCTATTAGCTAAAAGGCTAGAATGCCTTTTAGCATGTCATTACATTGCAAATCACTTCCAATTAAAGTTCCTCAATTGCACAGTTAAATGGATTTTGGAATATGTAAATTTCCTTTCCACTTGCATCAAGGTCTGAAAAACACTGCTGTAGTTTGAAATCAGAAAATATATTGCTGGGAATTTGTGTAGGAATGGAGATATCACCATATATATATATATATATATATATATATATATAACTTTTGACAGTGCAGGAAGTATGTAATGCAGCCTGACATTACTTGCAATTCAAACAATGTTCTCGATAAAATGACTTTTTCACAGTATGTTTCACATATAAGTTTCACATATAAGCACTGTTTTACTTTGTAACTTTAGCCTGAAACCTTTTCAAATCTGCAGCAAAAGCTAATTTCAAAGCCACTCAGAGTTCAATAGCAGTGACTGAGCACAGTTTTTTCAACCATTAAAAAAGTAAAAACCATTTTTAACTTGAGGACTATCTAATAAGCAGGCTAGATTTGACCCATAGCTTACTGACCCTTGCATTATAAAGTCTTAAACAATTATATTCCCAGTAACTTAAATGTTACATGCCTCTTTTCCCCAAACTTTGCAACCTGTAATTATTATTTACTTTTAAAGATTTATCCAATTTGAAATTACATTTTTCAGCTTACATTTATTTGCATAAGGTCACATATCTTTTAATGATTATAAGCCATTTATGTTTATTTCTTCACTGTAAACTGGTTTTTCATATTCTTTTCCCATTTTTATTTCAATAAAATTTTCATTCCACCAATTGATCTGTGTACCAAAAAGAGTTCTAAATCCTTTTTAGTGGCTCTACTTACTTGTTCAGTATTACTTTTCACTACTTTCTCCCACACATCCAACCCTCTTTCCATAGCGAAAGATCTGCCATTGCCTGAGAGAGTTGTGTTTTCTCAAGCTTCTCTGCATATCTGCACCAGATGTCATTCATTCACTGTCACTCACATTTTCTCCATTTTCCCCCTCTTAGAGTAATTCTTCTTACTCACCCTTGGAGACTCCGATCAGATATCAGTTCCTCTTTGGCTCCACAGCACTCTGCAAATATGTGCTGTAAAATATATCAAACTTTTACATAATTAACTACTGGTTTACAGTGGTCTGTCTCCCCACTGGGCACATAGGCATTTGAGATACGGTATTATAATTGATGGCCATACTCCAAATCAGTGCCCAGCACATAGTAGGTACTAATTATTTAAGTGAGTTCAAAATACCAATAATATTATAACAAATACATGCCAGGCACAGCAACACATCTGTTTAGTATCCTTTGTATTGTACTTAGCATGATGTACAATTAAAATTTGAAGACAAACTCTCACATATTAATGTCTTACCAAAGAAAAATAACAATTAACATTTTTATTCCCTGACAAAACTGAGTATGTCACTTTATTAAAAACTTGTATTTTCCCTCACAGCTTAAAATAATTTATTTAAATATTTGCCTTTAGTTATAGCTGTGATCTCCAATTCAGGAAAATTTGCTTATACTAGAAAACTAAGAATCTTAAAATATAGAAAAGAATATTTATAAACTGTTTCTATTTTGTAATCTGAACAATAAGTTTCTTTGAAAATCTTCTTTGTAACTTGAGCAAGATTCATTTTGGATCAACTTTTTATTTTGCTTTATTTCCTCAGGATATTCATTACCTTGCACTAGATAAAGGTGAATTGGCACTAGCTGAAGTGGCAAGAAAAAGAGCTAGTGACATTGATGCAGAATCAATAACCTCTGGAGTTGGTAAGAATTAATGCTATTTTTAAGTGCTTTTATTTAAATCAATGCTTAGTATCATTTCTATTTGGAGGACATGGTTGGTTAATTTGAATTACTTTCTTTGTAAAGACAGTGCCTTATAAAAAGAAGAATTAAGACTTGACAAACAGTACAATGTCGATACACAAGTTGGAATTGTGTTTATATGAAAATTTATATTCAGTGATTACTACAGTCATCATTTATCAAAAAGTCAAAAGGATATTTCAATCTTTTCATAAGATTTTCAGAGAAAGCTTAATATTATCGTTAGTGCTATTATTAAAACTAACCAACACAGAAATTTATATAATCCTTTATTTAGACACAGACATGTCATTTCTCAAAAGAATTCTCTCCTATATCAGGCAAAGTATTTCATATGGGATTTCGGATTTGATGGGTGATCTGTTTTTGTTTAGAAGCTGCTAGAATCATTTTAAACTGTAGTATTCTAAAGAAGACAGATCAGAAGCCTTAGAATGAATTTAAAAGTTCATTTAAACTTTATAATATAAGAAATGAAAGTTTTTAAAAAATTGTAATATCAACACTAATATCTTTTTTTTAAATTCAGTTTATCTAATGCCACTAAGTTGTGCGATACTGATACTTAGAAATCCAATTCCTTTTCTTCCTATTTATTATTCCTAAGTTAGGCAAAGAACCCTCAGGATTGTACTAGAATTCATTTTTCTGTGAAACTCCTCTAAAACAAAGAAGTTTTAATAATATTTCCACTTTGTAAGTGCTTGAAAAACCTTATACAAGCCTCTCCATTTATAGATCTTGTGTTTTGTTTTTGTAATGCTGTTTGCATCCAAAGGGACCAGTTGTCAGCTTCTCTCAGACACCACCACGTAGATCCAGTCTTCAATGTGGTACTGAAGGATTTAAAACCATTTCATCAGGATAGCTGTAGACCTGAATACCAGGGCTCTCAGGTACTAGCAAGATAATTCCATTCTCCTTCCCCCATCCTGAAAGAGTTCTAAATTGATTAGACCAGTTTCATATCTCCATTTCTAATGGATAAGGAATACTCGCTATTAATGCAATATTAGATAAGAATAACTGTAACTGACCTATCACTACATCTTGTTACTAGCTAGGGAGAGATATTACTGTGTCTACTACTACTAATAATAGCAACTAATATTTATTGAATGCTAAGTTACAGATATCAAGTAATTTTCACTACAACTCTGTGAAGTAAGTACAACTTATATTTGTTATGAGAAGTTACTTCTAACTAAATGATGAAAGCATACCATGTTTATAGGAATGATGACATTATATGAGGGGTACAAATATCCTCCATCCCTATCCCTCTGGCCATTTAGGAAAACACAGTAAGAAGTCATAGCCAGTTGTCTGGAAATATTCCTTAGTTGTCCTGTACCCTGCCTTTTCTACCAGGTTATCAGATATAATGATGGCCATCTTTGCATTTTAAAGTTATTTAAAATTACTAAGAGTGAAAGAGAATATGAAGAGATTATCACAAAATTTCAGCAAAACAAAGAAATTCCCTGATTCACCAAAATGCATCTCATTCCCTGTGTATTATCTGATGAGGTGGTCAGTGGATAATTCCTAGCCAGAAAGCTTAGTGTACCCACTTTGAGCCTTGCATCATTTCCAGCAAATATATTTTCACTGATACCCTGTGACTTCCCTTTTCTCAGCCTTGTCTCAGGCCTCAGCCTTTGACCTAGGTTACTGTGTTTTGACAAAGACACTATTAAATAACATCAGTAACTTTCAGGAGGTTGCCCTATTAGATGAATGTTCTACTCTACTTTTGCTGCAGAAACCTGGGTGATTCTCACTCATAATTCTAAATGGAATAGGAAAGAATGTCTGGTTTCCTCATCATGGTCTCTGCCTAGTTCTTTTTGTAGTCTGCATCATGCTGGGGAAAGCTAATTTTCTCTCAAATTCCCTCTATTTAATTCAGCTATTCTCTTAAACTTTTCCCAAAGCTGAAAGTTATTAAATTTTTGGCTTTCAAAGTGGTTCTTTGATGCAAGCAAGAAGCCAAATTATGTAAGACAGGGAAAGAGTATGTAAGTAGTTCCATTTACATGGGAGAGTCTCTAAAAAAGCATCAGACATAAATGCTGTCACTACAGTTAAAAGCAAGAGTTGCCAAAGGAAAAGCTGGATGATGATAATCTGAACAATTTGGTAATTTTTAAAACTTTTTATTGAAGTCCAACATGCATACAGAAAAGTGCACAAAACATAACTGTGTGGCTCAATGAATTTCACAAAGGGAACACATCCTTGTAAACAGTATCCTAACCGATAAACTTACGTTACCAGGACCCCAGAAGCCTTCCTGTATCCACTTTAAGATGCTATAATCTCAGCCCAGCTGTCCAGACTTGTTAACATTATAGACTAGTTTTGCCTTTTTTCAAACTTAAAATAAATGGATTCATACGTATATTCTTTTGTATTTGGCTCCCTTTATTCAACATTGTCCGTCTGAGCATCTTTCATATTGTTGGATATAGATATAATTTTTTCTACGCTTAATGCTGTATAACAGTATTCCAGGCCAGTCACAGTGGCTCATGCCTGTAATCCCAGGACTTTGGGAGACTGAGGTGGGCAGATCACAAGGTCAAGAGATTGAGACCATCCTGGCCAACATTGGTGAAACCCAATCTCTACTAAAATACAAAAATTAGCTGGCATGGTGGCGTGCACCTATACTCCCAGCTAGCTCAGGAGGCTGAGGCAAGAGAATTGCTTGAACCTGGGAGGCGGATGTTGCAGTGAGCCAAGATCACGCCACTGCACTCCGACATGGCGCCTGGCAACAGAGCAAGAATCTGTCTCAAAAACAGAACAAAAAACAATATTCCAATGTATGAATGTATTACAACTTATTCTACTTTAGACGGATATTTGGGTTGTTTCAAATTTGCAGCTAATGTGAACAGTGTTGCTATGAACATTCTTATGTATGTCTTTTCATGGACATAGGTACACAGATCTGTTGGATGGTTCTTAGAAGCAGAATTCCTGTGACATAGGATATGTAGCCTTAGCTACTTCCAGTAGCCACTTCCAGTTTTCCAAAGTAGTTGTTAACAATTTCCCTTCTCACCAGCAGTATGTAAGAGTCCCAGTTTTGGCCATCCTTACTGATGCTTGATATTGTCTCTCTTTTTCATTTTAGCCTTTCTGGTGGAAAAGGTATTGTAATTTTGTACACGTGACAGTATAATGCATACACTGTTTCTGGACCATGTTCTATTTTATTAGTCTGTTTGTCTGTATTTGCACAAATATCTCACTGCTTTAAGCAACTCTGGTTGTAAATGTTATTATCTGGTAGTGCAAATTGCCCAGCTTTGTTCTCTAAGATAGACTTGGCTATTTTTCCATATAAATCTCAAAATTGGCTTATACCCTGACAAAATCAAGAAAAACAAACAAACAGTAGTGGCTGAAATTCTGGTTAGAATCTCATTTAATCCATAGATAAATTGGGGCTGAACTGATTTCTTTATAATATTGTTTTCCAATCCATGAATATGTTATATCTCTCCATTTATTTAGGTCTTCTCTATTTCTTATGAAAAATGTTTTGTAGTTTTCACAGTAGTGGTCTTCCACATCTTCCTTTAGATTTAAGTATTTCTTTTTCTCCTTTGTATGTGGTAATCTAACTTTAAAATTTCATATTCTGTTTTATTTCTGGTATATATATAATTGACTATTACATATATTTACCTTATATCCAGCAATAACTGATAAATTCACTTATTAATGCCAATAGTTTGTAAATTCTTTTGAATTTTCTGCATCCCAATCATGTCATCTGGAAATGTGTTAGTCTTTTTGCATTGCTATAAAGGAATACCTGAGACTGAGCAATTTATAAAGAAAAATGGTTTATTTTGGCTCAAGGTTCTTCAGGCTATATGAGAAGTTTGGTGCTGGCTTCTGCACCTGGTGAGGCCTCAGGAAGCTTCAAATCATGACAGAAGGTAAAGGGGGAGCTGCCAGATCACATGTTAAGAGAGGGAGAAAGAGAGAGAGGAGGAGGACTCAGCCTCCTTTAAACAACTAGCTCCCATGTGAACTCACAGAGCAAGAACTCACTTCTTACCATGGGGAGGGCACCAAGGCATTTAAGAGGGATCTGCCTCCATGACCCAAATGCATCTCACCAGGCCCCACCTCCAGCATGGGGGATTACATTTCAATATGAGATTTGGAGGGGACAAACATCGAAACCATATTTGCAAATAAGGACATTTTAATTTCTTCCTTTCTAGTTCTTAGGCCTTTTACTTCTCTTTCCTTATTACTGCACTGACTAGAACCTCTAGTATAAGGATAGGTAGAAGTTGTGACAGGCATTATTTTCTATTTCTTGATTCTTAGGGAAAGCTTTTTATTTATTTTTTTCTTTTTTACCATGTAGCTTACATGTGTACAGAAAGCTTTCAGTAATTCACCAGTTAGTGTAAAGTTTTCTCCAGATTTTTAATAAACCTTTTATTCATATTAACAAAGTTCTCTTTAATAACTAGCTTGCTAAGAGTTTCTATCATGAATAGGTATTGAATTTTATCAATACTTTTTCTTTGCCTATCAAGATTATCATATGATCTTTCTCCTTTGTTCTATTAATAGAGTGAATTGCATTGATTTTCAAATGGCAAACCTTGCATTCCAGAATAAATACTTCTTAATTGTGATGATATATTTTTACATATTGCTGGATTTCATTATTTTTAATTTTTGGCATTTACATTCATGAGGGATCAATCTATAAATGGTTTCATTTCAGTATCTCTGTCTAGTTTTGATATCTAGATTATTTTGACCTAATGCCTAAATGTCAAACATTCTAGAAAGCATACATTTGAACATGTAATAGTACTTTATGATTCAGTTATTTATATATGGCATATGTAACATTTCTTACAACTTAAAAATTTTACATTAATCTTCACTGT